TCCGGCTCCTCGGGTGTTTCTCCATCCCCTATGTCTGGCTGTGTCTGTGCCAGTGGGGTTCCTTGAGTTCCCACCGTAGCAGCGTTCATTAGCAGCATCGGTGTCCCAAATGACTCAGATTGCTGCTGAGCCGTATCCATCGCTCGTGCCTGATCGACTACCTTGTCAAGAGTGGGTTGCGCTTTCTCTAGTAAGCGTTGCCGTATGTGGGCTGATCTGAGTCCTTGGATGAATGCCTCCCGTGTCGCTTCCTTTCGGTGTTCCTCGGCGCTTACGGCCCGGAAGCTGCAGTCTTTTCCCAGCTGATTCAGAGCTTGCAGGAACTGATCGATTGTCTCCCCGGCTGCTTGCTTGCGTGTGTTGAGAAGATGTCGTATGTATACCTCGTTCTTGCGCTTCACGTAGAGCGCCTGCAGCACGTCGATCGCTGCTTCGTAAGTGTCGCACTCCGAGAAGAGCCTGTACACGCTGGGCGAGACATGATTCACGAGAGCGGCAAATTTGTCAGCTCCCTCCTCGATGATGGTCAGATAGTGTGAGAAGGAACAGAACCAATGCGACCATTTCATTTCTGCGTCAGTCGCGTTTGGGTCTGCGTCGAACCTCTCTGGTTTGTAGATCTTGTCCATCGTTGGTTGAGAGAGCCGAGAAAACCAAATGGAATAAATTGAAATGAAGACGAGAGAAATATAATCTCCATTCTCACCAGTCAATGAGCACCTTCAGTCAACGAGCACCAAGTGAACAGCCGATGTAAATGGCAATGCCCCGGGGACAATCACCCCGTGCCGCGGAGACCTCCCCTTATACGCGAGACGCACAACATGTAAATGGCAATGCCCCGGGGACAATCACCCCGTGCCGCGGAGACCTCCCCTTATACGCGAGACGCACAACATGTGATCCCGCGTCATGTCCCTCAATTCACCTCAATTCACCACATTCTCCCCACCTTTAAAATGTAACTAGGGGCCCATCTTACACACCATGATTGCTTTAGCACTATAGGAGTATACATTTCAAGCAACGCGGACTAATAGATCTACAGAAGCATACATGCCAAGCAGTGATTATTTTGAGTTGTAGGAGCATGGAAATGAGCATCGATATATGATATAATGGGCATATAGGAGCATGAGCAGCGAGAATGCCGATAATCCCCTTTACAGATTGAGTCGTCGAGGGGGCCTTATTCGTCGACCTCTCCGGGAGTAAACGGCAGTTTCACTTGAGGGAGACTCCCGATCCTCTTGGTGAGCCTCGACTTGTGCCGGGGATGACTCCTCGATCGCTCTCGGGTGGACTGGGGGGGGAACACCTGGGGAGGGGATGTCAGAGGGAGGAGTGCCAGAAGGTGGTGTACCTGCGGGAGGAGTACCTGAGGGAGCCAGATGGCGAACCGACACAGTGGTCTCCCTGCCATCCGGGAGCCTGACATGAGCATACTCTGGATTAGTGTCAATGAGTTCGACCCCCTCCACCAGGGGTTCATACTTGCTTTGTCGTACCGGGCGTTTCATGAACACTGTTCCGGGATGGGTTAGCCAGTTGGGCACCGATTGGCCGTCAACATAACGTCGCTGGTGAGTAAACATTCGTTCGTGAGGAGTTGCATTGGTGGACGTGCAGAGCAAAGAGCGTATGGAATTCAGAGCGTCGGGAAGAGTAACCTCCCACCGCTCGGGGCCCAGTCCTCTCGATTTCAGCGCCAGAGTTACGGCTTTCCAAATAACTCCATTATACCTTTCCACCTGCCCGTTTCCCTGTGGGTTGTAACCCGTCGTTCGACTAGTTGCTATGCCGAGCTCTAGTAGGAATTGTTTTAGCCCGGCCGACATGAAACACGGCCCTCTGTCTGAATGTATGTACGAAGGTTTCCCAAACATAGCGAAGAGGTCAGAGAGACATCTCACGACAGTGCCCGAGGTCATATCCGAGCACGGAAATGCGAAAGGGAACCTTGAATATTCATCAACAACGGTGAATATGTATCTGTTGTCTGTCTCGGTCGGCAGGGGCCCTTTGAAGTCGATGTTTAGTCTCTCGAAGGGGGAAGTGGCCTTGATCAGTCTGCCAGATGCCGCGCCAAAGAATCTGGGTTTTAGTTCAGCACAAACAGGGCATGAAGCATTCATTTGTTTAATATCTTCAACAGAATAGGGAAGATTTTGTCTGCG